GTCATAAACCGTTCTTTCTAGTATCTAGTTCTGTAGCTCTATACGTAGCTTTCTATCCTACCCATGATATTTATGGCACGATTGACTTCAATTACTAGACTAGGACTATTTCATAGATTTTTCGTTTCTTAGGATGTTACATTTGGTTTGCATATTTTTTTCAGCCTTCTGAATATACAATAACAATAAAAGAAGAGCCAATCGATTCAGAGATCTGCGATGATTTGTCGCCAGTTGATACAAATACAGGGAATAAAAATGAAACAGCGACGTTTAAAGGTGAATCTTCGGACGACGTTTATTGTAACAATGAAGAATCCGCGTTTCCTCAAGAAAGTACGTATTTAGAAAATAACAAATCGGATCCTGATAAACGAAAAAGTAAACATAAAGTACCTTCAAACAACAGAATAAGTTGCAATGTTTGTTTGTTAACTTTTCAAGCTAAACATTTATTGGAACTGCATAATAAATTATATAGCTGTAATGTATTTAAGTGTGATAATTGCACTGCAATCTTCACTATGCATATTTCGTTAATACGTCATTTAAAGAAGCGATGTTGTACGAAAAAATTGTCTGGATATAAGTGTAATTTTTGTAACCGAAAGTTTTCCTATAAAAGACATGTCCAGTCTCATTTATTCCATGCGCATAGGAACGCAATATTTTCTGGTGGAAGCAAAATTACGAAAACATCTCCTGAATCGTTAGGAAAGTCGAATCATTCGGATGATATAATCATGGAAGAATCAAAAACTTCACACAGTCCCTGCTCAAAGAACGTAAATAGCTCAATAAACATATCTTTGAAACTATCTAATGATTCAAAGTCTAATGGTTCAAACAATACACCCACCAAGGGTTCGAGCAGCAATATCAAGTCTACGCATCCGAAATGGTTAAACGATTCGCATGGTACACCTTCGAAAAGAATGAAGCAATCCGTCCTTACAGACTTCATATCGACGTACAAAGACAAACCGAATGACAGATGGGTTAGCCCGGAAAAAGTTATCGATACGGAGAATATTCCTATTACTGCGACTATTATTCCAACTTTAACGCTCGAGACATTTAGTAACAAGACATCAACGGCTGCAGAAGTTATTCAGATGTCTACTTCTGTTAAGCGAATCGAATCTCCTGTTAGGAAAAGATCATTTATTCAAATTCATGTGAATTTAAAGACAATGATATCTTTATTACTGAAAGCTCGAATACCTCGCACAATATGTCTTACAACCTTAGGCCAGTGAAAAGATGTTCTTCTTTATATGATTCTTACGATTTATTGGAGTGTAAAGAATGTGTGGTCCGCTTGGAGAAATGCGACAAATTCTTGGAGCCTACTAGTTTTGTGTCAAATGAAGATGAAGACGAAGACGAAGTCGAAGACACTTTCAAACGAGCAGTATCGAAAAATGTGAAAGAGAAATTTGAAGGTTTTCGCGAAATAAGCTTGACATGTAACAAGAGGAATTTGAAGGTTTTCGCGAAACAAGCTCGACATGTAACTTGCCTTTGAAAGCTGACACGATTGCGTCAAAGCGATTCAATGAATTTGTAAAATCTTTCGCTGATGGATTAATCGTACCTCAACAAGAATCGGTTGAATTTCAGAAGAACTTTAAAGTCTGTCAGCAGAAAATAATTCAATGTCATATTTGTAAAAAATCGTTTTCTTCGAAGGAAAACCTGCGCGAGCACATGAAATTGTTCCATACGATTTACATTTCGAGCATATGCAACGCGCGTTACACGTCCATGAATAAGTTACTAACTCACTATCTACGTCAGCATGGTGTGTTTAAACGAAGGGAATGTTGCGTGTGTTATGAGAAGTTTGACACGTCGGCACTGTTGAAGCGACACATGATTCTGCATTGTTTGAAGACCATAAGGTCAAAAAAGGACGCTTCACCGGTTGATATTGAAATAAATTGCAATGCATTCAAGAAACAACACAAATGCAAAGGTTGTCGTAAACGATTTTGGCTATACTCATGTTTGAAACAACACGAGAATGTATGTCGTCGAATGAAAGTGTTAAGAAATAAACAACGCGTACCTCGTATAAACCATTCGTCTCGGTCCTTGAAAGAATCAAGTGACATGGAACTCGGCATAGTACAGTCGCTTGATTTGGAACAAACGTTGGATGTTTCGGGTGGGACGACAAGATCTTTGAAAAATTATTTGACTCCGAGTGCGCTTAATACGGATGATACTTCCTCTTCGTCATTCGATACAGCTGCAAAACACAGAAGGTTACTTGATGGGATTGCATGTGTAAAGGGTCATCAAGCCGACAAGATGAACAGAAAAAAGTTTCCTTGCACTACTTGTGGAACACAATTCCAAACATTTAAAAATTTGTGCATACACGAGCGCACCTATCGTCAAACAGCCACAGAAAAGTGTAACGTTTGTAACACGATGTTTTCCACTAAAAGATTCTTACAGTTTCACATGCTTGCTACTCATGCGCCTTCGTGTTCGGTGAACTACAAATTCTTTTGTAAGTTCTGCAATCAAGGATTTGTTAAGAAACAGAGTCTTCAAATTCACGAACGACACTTGCATATTGGGCAAGATTCTAGGCTGGTGCTGAATTCCGATTGTGTTGTGGAAGATAAACCAATCTGTAATATATGCCATTTGTTATTCGAATCCTACGAACGTTTAGTCGAGCATAACACGTATTATTACAAGGGTAATGATTTTTTATGCGCAATATGTGGTAAGTCGTTTCAAGGAATGTACAAGTTTTATCATCACAACAAGTTGGAGCATTATCCGGACGAACCATCGAAATTGTACCCTTACAAATGCGATACTTGTAACGAAGGCTTCAGCTACGAATCACAACTCCACGCACATAGGCTACACGTTCATTCGCACGATTCGCCCGCTGACAAAACGCGCGACCGCGATACATCGGATCAGACTCTTCGCGTGTGTTCATAGCATGTGTTCATAATTCTTTGGGTAAATTAAGATAATCATAAAATAAAAGCATAGAGAATATTTAATTCTTCGATTTATAGGTCGTTTGAAAATCAATTTTCACGGTACTATACTGAAGAATCGGCCTAGATTGAGACGTACAATAAACACACCAAGTACACATACACATACGAAGCAAATGATTTCAAAGTGTCCTTTAAGTCATGTATTCGCATTTTCCATGACACGCATGAAATGTATCGATATTTGTTGAAATATAATTTACAAGACAAATCAACGCTTCTGACCTAATACGAACTGCGCTCGGCTTAAACATCGAGCATTGAGTGAAGTTTGGGTGTCAGCCGTAGGCGCTTCCTGTTCATTGTTTGCGATGGTCTCAGTTTGTTGAAGCAGAATATGTCAAGCATTCGCTAGACGAACAGCCAGAAAACGAGTGAACTAGATATTCCATACTGTCTCTAACTTTATTTAATATACATCGTTTTGTTCCCATAAGAGATAAAGAGATCTAATCGCGTTATTGTATCGTTTACTAAGTGTCGCTTGAAACAGCTTAATGAAAATTATGATAGATCGAGTAATAAATTTGTCTGCTTTTCTTTGAACGCGTTATATTTATGTGCTTTCATATACGTATATGTTTCCGCGCGCGCGCGCGCGCGTGTGTGTGTGTGTGCATGCGTGCGAGCATGCGTGCGTGCATGCGTGCGTGCGTGTGTATTTTATCAAGTTAATCACTACCCTATTTCATTATTGAAAATTTTTTGTTAAAGGAAGTTTTTCGTTCGACGTGCGCGTTTGCGGATCTTTATATTTTGTAAATTGTTTTTGGTCAGCCTAAATGTTTGAAGAAGTTAGAAAATAAATGAAGCGAGGGTAAGTAAATGTTGCAATTTCTTTTCTTAATTGGCCTGATATTCGTCATTTTTCTTTTATTGCAATGTTTATTCGCTATAATTATTCGTTTAAACGTCCGCTCATTATAATAATTATAACATCCGTTAAAAAATGAACAAACCTAATTGTTTGTTCGACCAATCGCGGGGAGACGTAGTCGCTAGGAGAGA